CTTGATCCTGTCACGGACACACTTGGCACACATGGAGCCACCATAGGCCCGGCTGACATGCTTCTTTGTCTTCGACAATCTCATGAGGACTTTTGGTCTCACAGCACGAACCCCTCGAAGTCGGCCTGGGCACACACCGCACGCTGATTTAGGTGCTTTTCCAACCTTCTTGGTGTAAAGGTAAACAATCCTGTTGCCAGGGGTTCGAGACAGCCTAGTTTTGTTGGAGGCTGTGTTGTAGGAGAGCCTACGACGGTATGTCAAACGCTGGACCATCCTGAGTGCCTCTAAGCACCGTCCCCGGAAGAGGAAAAGCTCTCATCCATTTCTTTAATGGAGTTTTTCACATCCTGTTTAATGGTCCCTATCACTTTCATAATGTTACGTTTAAAGCTGATTGCTTCTACTACTTCTGAATTGTGGTGTTCAGGTCTTCCTGTTGTATGTTCTCTGGATTCTGGTGTTATCATGTTGCTTTTCAGGTTGTTGGAGGAATTCTTGCATTGGCACCTGCCATCCCTTCCTTCAGCTGCAGTCAGGAGAGTCTTGGCAATTTGGTCCGATCTTTGCTGTGGCCAACTGTGTACTTGGGGGTTTATCTTGTTCTGCCCTCTCTTAAGTCCCCTCAGCACTGAGTTGGCTCTCAGATCTACTCCTTCCTGAAGTAGGCTGTGGTGGTGTGGATCTTAGGACCCCACGGATGGAAAGGAATGCTTGGGGGCAAGATGGGATGGGATAAATAGAGAAAGCCAGAAGCCCAGGAGAAGCCCCACTGAATGGCCAGAAAGTTTAGGGGATTGGAGGGTGCCTGTACTCTGTTCCCAGGGTGCTGGGCGGGCACACACTTGCCTGGTACTGGATGTGAGCTCTGCATTTTTCTCGGCTCCCCTCCCTGCCTTTCCCCTTTCCCCTTCAATCCTTCTCCAAGGTCCCCATGCTCCCAATTTACTCATGATATCTTGTCTTTTTCTACTTCCCATGTAGATTAGATCTATGTAAGTCTCTCTTAGTGTCCTCATTGTTGTCTAAGTTCTCTGGGATTGTGATTTGTGGGCTGGTTTGCTTTGCTTTATGTTTAAAAACCATTTATGGGCGCACGCCTTTAATCCCAGCACTTGGGAGGCAGAGGCAGGCAGATCTCTGTGAGTTCGAGACCAGCCTGGTCTACAGAGCTAGTTCCAAGACAGGCTCCAAAGCCGCAGAGAAACCCTGTCTCGAAAAAAAAAAAATTATGAGTGAGTACATGTGATAATTGTCTTTCTGTGTCTGGGTTACCTCACTCAAAATAATGTTTTCTATCTCCATCCATTTTCCTGCAAAATTTAAGATTTTTTTTTTCTGCTTTGCAGTACTCATCCATTGTATAAATGTACCACATTTTCCTTATCCATTCTTCAGTCAAGGGGCATTTAGGTTGTTTCCAGGTTCTGGCTATGACAAACAATGCTGCTATGAACATAATTGAACACATGTCCTTGTGGCATGATTGAGCATCCTTTGGATATATACCTAAAAGTGGTATGACTGGGTCTTGAGGAAGGTTGTTTCCTAATTTTCTGAGAAATCGCCACACTGACGTCCAAAGTGGCTGTACCAGTTTCCACTCCCCCCAGCAATGCAGAAGTGTTCTCTTTCCCCACAACCTCTCCAGCATAAGTTGTCATCAGTGTTTTTGATCTTGGTCATTCTTTCAGGTGTAAGATGGAATCTCAGAATTGTTTTGATTTGCATTTCTCTGATAACTAAGGATGTTGAACATTTCCTTAAGTGTCTTTCATTCATTTTAGATTCCTCTGTTGAGAATTTTCTGTTTAGGTCTGTACTCCATTTTTTTTATTGGATTATGTGTTCTTTTGGTGTCCAATTTCTTGAGTTCTTTGTATATTTTGGAGATCAGACCTCTGTCTGATGTGGGGTTAGTGGAGATCTTTTACCATTCTGTTGGCTGTCGTTTTGTCTTGTTGACCATGTCCTTTGCTTTACAGAAGCTTTTCAGTTTCAGGAGGTTCCATTTATTAATTGTTTTTCTCAGTGTCTGTGCTACTGTATTTATATAGGAAGCGGTCTCCTGTGCCAATGTGTTCAAGTGTACTTCCCATTTTCTCTTCTTTAAGGTTCAGTGTGGCTTTATGTTGAGGTCTTTGATCCATTTGGATTTGAGTTTTATGCATGGTAATAGATATGGCTCTATTTTCATTCTTCTACATGTTGATATCCAGTTATGCCAGCACCACTTGTTAAATATGCTTTGTTTTTTCCATTTGATATTTTTTTGCTTCTGTGTCAAAAATCAGGTTTTCAAAGATGTGTAGATTGATATCTGGGTCTTCTATTCGGTTCCATTGGTCCTCCTGTCTGTTCTTATGCTACAAACTTCTTCTTTTAAGCTCTTTCTAACATTGACTTTTTGTGTGTGTGGATTTGTATTTTGTATGACATGTATGTATATGAAGGCCAGATTGGGCATTGGATTTCCTGAAGCTGGAGTCACAGGCAGTGTGAGCCACTTGAAGCAGGTGCTGGGAACCAAACTCCGGTCCTTTGCAGGAGCAATATGCTTTCTTAGCCCCTGAGTCTCTTCTTCATCTCCACCCCCAACTTTATATGTTTGTGTGAGCCTTTGTGAGTAAGGGTGGTGCGGGAGGACAGGAGAGGGTGGCAGATGCTCTGCAGCTGAATTAACAGGCTTTTGTGAGCATTCTGATGTTGTCACCGGGAACCAAACTGACCCTCTGCAGGAGCAGTGGGAGCACTCAGCGCTCATCCCTCCAGCCTTGAGACATATCTAGACTGCTTTTGAGAACAATATCCATCATGTGTTTGTATTTCAGATGCAGAAAGAAAAAGCTTATATACCCTCTTTCTGGAATCTATACAGTTGCGTCTTCAACATAGAGAAGATTCCACTCCACACATTCTTATGGAACAGCAGACATCCAAAGAGAACCTAATAAAGATGCAGTCCATTGCTGAAAGGCATCTGGAGCTAGACGATGCTCACGACCCACTGCTGGCCATCAACTTTGCGAGGTGATACATGCATACCTTGTTTGCAGGGACTAAGATAAGCTTTGAGTAGTGCAGAGTGAGTGGTTGTCATTATTTCTGCCAGCTGGGTCTTTCCGTCTCAGAAACAAACCCTTTTCATTGCTAACAGATGGGTGATGTGTTCACCTGTGCCAGCTATATAGTCCTCGTTAATGGACGTGTCCAGATGTCACCCAGCTGACATCTCTGTACCCTGCCCCTAGGAATATCATAGCTCACCTAGAACATGCTGCTGAAAGTCGGGACAGGCTCTGCACTGTCTCCTGTATTACACACACATACACACACACACACACACACACACACACACACACAAAGGGCCTTAGAATCCTTCTAGGACTAGAATGAGCCACACTGCCCTTGTGACTTCATGTCTGAGCACTATCGGAAGGGCTAATCCAGCACTGACCCAGAAAGGATGTGCTGGGGGAAAGATTTCGTTCTGTAATAACTGATAATCTAAAACTAAAGGTGAAAATGGGGTTCTAGGTTTGGTTTATTAGAATTCTGTCAACAGCAGCTCACACAATCAATGCTCATTCATGTTTTAATATTGAAGGTTGTATTTGGAGCAGAGCGATTTTCATGAGAAGTTTGCTGGTGGTGACATTTGTGTGGATAGATCATCAGAGTCTGTGACGTGCCAGACTTTTGAATTAACACTAAGGTCTTGCCTCTACCCTCACATTGAGAGACAGTATCTGCATTGCTGTGGAAACCTCATGCAAACCTTAAAAAGAGATTTCAGGTAAAAAGAAGTAATTTAGCTCTTGAAGTGATCAGTGGATGTTTTCCCTCTGCTTCCCTCATATTTCCTTTCTATCTTTCTTTTTGGTTTTGTGTTTATTTGTTTTTGGTACTGAGAGTCAAGTACTAGATTGAGTGTTAAAGTCTATTTCAATTAGAGGATGGAGATGCAGTTAACAGTCTTCCTTTTTAAAGAACAGTTAGCCATCAAGGTTTAAGTATGTTGTAACTAATTCATTATGTGAGAATCTGTGTCAAGAGACACACCAGAAGAATAAAAGAAACCCTCAAAACATATGCATAAACTGTCCTCTCGAGAAAAACATAAACCTACTTCTAGTAGATGACTAGCTCTAACTGACTTACTCTTGTTCATGTGCAATCTCCATAAAGCTCATAAGATTAAGTGTCCTCATTTTCTTTCTCTTGCTGTGATAAAAACAGTGAGCAGAAGCAACTAGGGAGGACAGGATTTATTTGGCTTACACTTAGAATTCATCATTGAGGGGGCTGGAGAGATGGCTCAGCGGTTAAGAGCCCTGGCTGCCTTTCCAGAGACCCTGAGTTCAGTTCCCAGTAACCACACAGTGGCTCACAACCATGTGTAATAGCATGTGATGCTGTTTTCTGTTGTTCAAGTGCACATGCAGTGTGCTCACACATGAAATATACATAAGATAACAATAGTTCATCCCTCTGGGAAGGAAGTCAAGGCAGAAACCTGGAGTCAGGAGCTTCTGGAGCAAAGACCACAGAAGAACACTTCTTATAGGCTTGCTCACTTTGCTTTCTTATAACCAGCCCAGGCAGAGATATACTTGTGTGCTCTTCCGTGTCTTTCTTTTCAAGGTTGGTGGAATATTTGCAGGCCATGAGGAATTTTTTCTTGATGGAAGGTGGAGATACCATGTATGATTTCTATACTTCAATTTTCGATAAAATAAGAGAAAAGGAAACCTGGCAGAATGTGTCTCTTCTGAATGTCCAGCTCCAAGAAGCGGTAGGACAGCGCTATCCTGAAGATAGTTTACGGTAACTATGGGGGGACCTCTCACTTTAAGAAGTATAAAGTGAACCATTTGCCAAGAAATCAGCTAAATTACCAGTGACCAAAATACCTTACAGAAGCAAGTCCAGGGTAGTTTATTTCAGCTCACAGATTGAAAGACTTGTGTGTTTCATGGCAGGGAGGATGTAGCTAAGCAGAGCAATTTTTGTCCTGGACAAAGGAATATAATAATACCATAGTGGGGAGGATAGGAAACAGCACCAAGGATAACATACTCCTTAGGACATGTCAGTGAACAGCTTGTTCCTGCTGAGCCCACCTCCTAGCTTTCCAGACTCTCCCAAATTAGCTCTCACTTTCTAAAGATCAAGCCACACATATGGAAGACTTCACTACGTGTATTTTATCTTCA